CGGGACCCGGGGTTGGGGGGCGGCGTGGAGTCTGAAGAGGGGGTGAGGCAGGGGGAGAGGGAAGGACCTGCAGAGGGGACAAGACTAGAGAAGGTGGAGCCGGAGGAGGGGGCGTGGCCATTGGAGGGGGAGGGTCTTGCAGAGAAGGCAAGGCCAGAGTCTGGGTTTGCACAGGGGCCATAGCCAAGAAAGGATTGGACGGAACAGGAGTAGCCTGCAAAGGTGGTGAGGCCAGAGAAAGTGAGACCTGTAGAGGGGACAGGGTCTGAGAAGAGGGAGAGACCTGTAGAGAAAGTGTGTCCAGAGAAGATGGACTCTGTGGAGGGGGCGTGTTCAGGGGAGGGGCTTGCAAAGCTGGTGAGGCCAGAAAATGTGGGGCCTGTAGAAGAGGCAGGACCAAAGAGGGAGCGGCCTGAAGAGGGGACGTGACCAGAGGTGGGGTCTGCATTGGGGGCGTGGCCAGTGAAGGAGGAGCCTGCGGAGGGGATATGGCTAGAAGAGGGTCCTGCGTGGGAGGTATGGCCAGTGTATAGGCCGAGGGCTGAAGATGGGGCGGAGACAGAGGACTGGCCAGTGCGGGGGGAGTGGTCAGCGCAGAAAAGTCCTGCAGAGGGGCTGTGGCTAAGGGAGAGGGTAAGTTCCGCAGAGACCTTGACTGAGAAAGAGGGACTCGTGGAGGGGGCGTGGCTGGTGGCAGACCAGCTGACGAAGGTGGTGTGGTCAAGGGAGAGGGGAGAGTCGGAAGAGAGGGCAAAGCCGGAGAAACCTGGGTAGGGGACGTACTCTGCAGAGGAGGTGAACCTGAAGGAGAGACTGGAGCTAGAAGAGTGGCCGTGGGAGAGGCGGGTGCCTCTGGAAAGGATGTACTCAGGTGTATGAGTGGAGCTTGCAAAGGGAGTGTGGCTGGCGGAGAGGGGAGGTTCTGCAGAGAGAGTGAAGCAGAGGGAGGAGGAGCTAGTGGAACGGACGTGGCCAGAGGACCCGTAAGGGCCTGCGAAGGAGGCGTGGCGGGTGGAGATGTAAGGGGTGTGTCCCGCAGAGTAGTGGCTGTGATAAGGACAGGCGGTGCCACTTGTGCGGTCTGAACCCGTGGAGATGAAGTGGCCAAAGGGGGAGAAAGGCTCTGCAGGATGGCTGCGCCCTTCCTTGAGGGTGCGGCCTGTGGGGGGCGCAGAGCCTGCAGCCCTTTCGACTTGGCCTGCGAGGAGTGCCCCAGAGCCCGGGGTGTTCCACCCAGCGAGGCCGGGGAGCGGGCTGGGGAGGACAAAGGGGTGGCGCTAGAGCCCAGGAGGCGTGAGGCTGGCCTCTGGAGGCCCCCGCAGGAGCTGGGTCGTCTCCTGGCAGCAGGGCTCGGCTCCACGGTGCTGTGCTCCGGAGCATTGCTCACTGATTTCCTGGGGGCTTCCGCCAGGGGTCGTGGCCGGGCATTCGAAGCTGCCCGAGGGAGTCCCACATCAGCACCCCCACCCCGAGACCGATGGGAGATGGCTGGGAAAGGAGCGCCTGGGGTGGGACCGGAAGAGTCTAGGGACAAAGCAGAAGGCAAAGGGGTCATCGATACTTACAGGCTGGTCCCCCTCACTGCCCAGGAGCCCCACTCCTCCCCAGATCAGGTACCTCTCCGTGTCTCCACACTCAGGGCACTCATTCTGGGAGTTTCTGGGGTTTTTCCTCTGCCCCTAGGTTCCTCAGCTGGGAGCTGGAGTCCTTTCTGCCCAAGAGGGCCTAGCCTGAGGGTGGGGAGGGCATGCTCAGGGCAGAGCCCACCTCCCCAAGCCCCCCCCCTTTTCCTTTTTGACCTCCAAAGTCCACATTTTCTTCTTCATCTGTGAAATGGGGCACATGGACCCTCTGCAGCCTTAGAATGGCTTTCACCCCATTTGCACCCAGTCATCTGCAAGTGTTCCCACATCCCAATTCATATGTAAAATGATTCCAGAGAGTGACACTGACCCTTACCTAGGAAGGCAAGGGGGGGGAGGGGAAGGGGGCGGTGGGTCGAGGAGTTACCTGGTGGTACCGCTGGCTCGTCCAGGGCTAGAGATAGAGCCTGGGCCAGGGATCTTGGCAGGGGTCCGCTCCCCTCTCCCTGCCGCTGCGAGCCTCGTGGCTGCCCGGAGAAGGCCTAGTTAACAGAGTGCCCCGGAAAGTAGAGGAAGTCTGATAACTCAGAAGGAAAGAGGTACAGGGAGATGGGATCGAACTCGGAGAAAGAGGCTAGGATACCTGGGTTGCTGGGGCTTGTCCCGGTGCTCCGCGTGGGTTCCACCGCGGAAGTAGCTTCAGAAAGAGCGGCTGGCCGGACGCAGGCCCCTCGCTCGGCCAGGGGCCCTCGCCCCGCAGCTCCCCCTGCTCCCAGAACTCTGAGGGCCGCGGGGATTACTGGTGGAGGGGGTCGAGGAGACGCTGGGGGTCTAGGGGTTTTCCGACGGCCCGGAGGGTGAGAAGCCGTCGTCCGCGCAGCGGCCCCTGCCCTGGCCTTGTCTCTCTTGTCCATCCCGCACCTGATGAACAGACGGCGTCCCCGGTCTTGGACCATTATGCAGCCTGCAGGAACCTGGGTTCTGGCACCTCGCTGCCCCTTCCCCAGCGTCGCCACACACGGGCACGCACACCTCGGCCTCGATCCACTTCCCTCCCACCCAACCACCCACTCACCAGCCCAGCTGCTCAAGGTTGCCCCCAAGTCCCACCCTCATCACCCTCCTCCAGGCCCTGCCTACCCCAGCCCATCCCCCTTGTCCTGTCTCTGCTCCCTTTCAGAACCCGAGATCCACGCCCCTACCCCTCGCTCCCTAGGGACCCAGACGACCAGCCTCTGGGACAGGGGAATCCCACAGGCTCCAGATGGGGTGGGGGGACGGGAGCGCACACCCGGGTCCCCTCGCCAGCCTCGAGGGACGCCAGCACCTGCTGGGAGGAGGAGCGGCCCCAGCCGCCCGCGCACCAGCTCGGAGAGACAAAGAACCGCGTCCCGAGCGAGACGCCCTCGCCCAGCCGAGCTGAGTCCGCGCCGCCCACTCCACCTGCTAGTGCCGCACTCACCTCCGACTCGGCCTCCCGCACATCCACGCAGGGTCGCCTGGGGTGGGGTTGTACGGCAGCGAGGAAAGGGGGCTGCGGGGCGGTGGCGCCCGGAGCCGGGCCCGCCCCTCGACCGCGGGCTCAGAAGACAAGGGGCGCACGCGCCAGATCCAGCCCAGGAAGGTGGCGGGAGCGCGCCGAGGGTTGTGGAGAGGCGCGCATTGGAGGAAGGGGAGGCTACTCCGCGCGGCGCAGGAGCACGCGAGACCGAACCCAAGGGGATGGGGGAGGGAGGCGGGAATCCCTCGAGGTCACGCATCTGGCCTCCCCACCACAACATGCACAGGGCCCTGGCAACCAGGGGCCGGACCGCACCTCCCGCCCCATGGACCAATCCGGCAGTTCAGTGTCCCTGGTCTCTGTCCTGGCCTTTGGGACCTACGAGGCAAGGCCCCCCTGGGTCCCTAGAGGCATCTGCCCCTGTCATACCCAAAGGCTTTCCCAGACCCCAGGAAAATCCCTACCTAGTGGTGGAGAGGACTATTGGGAGAATGCAGCCCTGGGAATTTAGGGACAAATCCTGAATTTGGGGGAAGAAAGGAAGGGAGGTCAAGAGGGAGAGAGAAACTGAATATGGTGAGAGGTGGCCCAGCCTTCTGCAGGACAAGGCACCCCCAACCTCCACACCCACCTAAATCACATGAAGCGGTGAGGTCAGGAAAGGCTTCCTGACAGAGATAGGATTTGGGGTGGTCAAGATTATGGGAGGTTATGAGGTGTCAAAACAGGTACATGAAGGAGCTGAGAAGATCCTGTCCAAGGTTGCCCAGCTGGTAGGAGGTGTCATTCTGGTGACTTCATCAACTCATGCAAGTGGTCTCAGTAGAGGAACTTGGTAGGGGACTGTGGCATGGAAGGCATAGGAGTATGAAGAGGGAGATGGCCATCCTCAGGTGTCCTGTGCTGCCCAACTGATGCCACGTGCCCTCCCACACCTCTGTGTTCCCCCCACGTACATCCTGTGCTTTCTCCCCCTTGGCTGATCTGTCCAAATGCTTAGCCCCATCCCAAAGAACCAGCTCCCTCAGCTCCATTCCTTTCTCTATCCCATGCAAGTGTGCCCCCCCCCGACACACACACACACACACACACACACACACACTGATTACAGAAGCAGCTCATACTTGCCTGAGACTTAGGAGGCTTCCAAGCAAGGACCAAGAAGGGTGGCACTTGACACCAGGGTGAACCTGTCATGGGGGGAGGGGAAGACGATGTATGTGAGCCATGAAAGTTGGGTTTTTAAGTTTTTTGTAATGCAAGGGCCTGATTAAACTTTCATTGTAGAGGCAGCCACCTCAAGGATGGCCATCTCCAATAAACACATTGCCAGCCACACAAGTAGATGAAGAGCCAGGCTGTCTTCCCCACTAAGTAAGGGTCCTTTGTTTTAGAGATTTTGGTTGACCATTTGAGCCATTTTTTTTCCTTTCCATGCTTTAAATTCACCAATAAAGAGTGAGCTCATGAAACCCTAGGCATCACCCTCTACCCCAATAAAAAGAACCCCAGGCTTGCCCTGGCTGGTGTAGCTCAGTTGGTTGAACGTTGTCCAATGCACTGAGATTGCAGATTTGATTCTGGGTCAAGGCATATGCTCAGGTTGTGGGCTTGATCCCCAGTAGAAGGCATGCAGGAGACAGCCTATGGATGTTTCTCTCGTCGATATTTCTTGCTTTTTAAATGTTTTTTATTAATTTCATAGAGAGGCAGGGAGAGGGAAAGAGGGATAGAAACATCAATAATGTGAGAGGATCATTGATCGGCCACCTCCTACATGACCCCTATTGGGGATCAAGCCCACAACCTGTGCACGTGCCCTGACCAGGAATGGAACCGCAACCTCCTGGCTTACAGGTTGACACTCAACCACTGAGTCACACCCGCGGAGCTCTCATTATTGTTTTTCTCGCTCTTCTTCCCTCCTTTTCTCTCTAAAATCAATAAAAACATATTTAGCCTGGTCGGAAGCAGAGGCTTGCATTTTCTTGCTTCAGTAGTTGTGTCCACAGTTGAGGTTCAGGAAATGGAAGAAAAAAGAGAGAAGCCAGGCTCAGAACTGAATACCTGCTTTGGCTGGTAAAAGCCTATCTTCAGAACCCATCCTTGCAATGAACCCTCCCTTCAGCCTGGAGAGGTGCTCCTCAAACACCCCTCCTCATCACTGCCCTCTGGATTGGATCATTCTAGGCCTCTCTTCATCCCCAGGTCTATTGAGGATCACTTGTGTGAATGAATACTTTCTGGCAGTACAGCAGCCTGGTTCCCCTGCCTGCCTGATTATCCATTCACCAGCAGTGCCCTCCTGAGTCATAGCTGCCTGCCCAGAGCCCTGCTCTGCTATCTTCTTTGGTGCAAGGGTCCCTCCAAGGCTAAACTGACTCCATCCTTCATCTAACTGAGATCTGGATTCTGCCCTCATATAAGACCATTCCCCAAATTTGGTCCATCAACAAGGGGATGGATTACACAAACCAAAACATACCCTGCAATCCCTACAATGGAATACTCTTCAGCAATAAAACAAACAAACAAAACAAAAAACTACCAAGACACTCAAAATAGGGGCAAATCTCAAAAACATTCTGCTGACCAAAAGAAGCCACACACACACACACACACACACAGACTTCACTGTATGATTCCATTTACAGAACATTCTGAAAAATGATTGCTGGGAGCTGGTGGGGGAGGGAGACTGTTGGACCACCCCATGTAGCCACTCTCAGATTCCTGACCCTCAGAAACTGCAAGACAGTGAATGCTTGTTTTAACCTGCTAGGTTTTGGGGGGTAATTTGTTATGCAGAACTAGCTAACTACCTCAGGTTCACAAAACCTTAGAAGCTGGGTATTAAGTACAAGTGTTGGTGAAAATGTGGAGAAATGGGAAATCATGTGTACTGTTGGTGGGAATGTAAAATGATGCAGCTGTTGTGAAAGACAATATGGATGGTCCTCAAAAAATTAAACAGAGAATTTCCATATAATCCACCAATTCCACCCAAAAGAATTGAAAGCAGAAACTCCAAGAGATATTTACACACTTGTGTGTAATTATTCACAATGGGCAAAAGATGGAAGCAACCCAAGGGTTTCTTGATGGTGAATGGTTAAACAAAATGTGGTCCATCCATACAATGGAAGATTATTTAGCCATAAAAAGGAAGGATATTCTGACACAGACTAAGATATGGATGTAACTTGAAGATATTATGCTCAGTGAAATAAGCCAGTCACAAAAGAACAAGTACTGTATGATTCCACTTATATGAGGTCCCTAGAGGAGTCAGATCCACAGAAACATAAAGTAGATCCTGGGTGCCAGGGCCTGGGGGAGGGGGAAGAGGAGTAAATGTTTAATGGGGATAGAGTGTCAGTTTGGGAGAGTTTTAGAAATGGATGGTGGGGATGTTTGCAGAACACTGTGAATGTACTTAATGCCACTGAACTGTACACTTAAAAATAGTTAAGACGGTAAGTTCTGTTATCACCTTTTTTTAAAAGTTGGGTGTTATTGATGTGAGAAAATTTCACCCATTCTCAATGGGAACATAAAGTGAGTAGTCTTTCTGGAGAACAACTGGAAAGATTATATGTGTGTCCTATGACCCATCCATCCCACTCAAGCGTCAATCCATGCAGCAGGTGCCTAAAGCCCCCTCCATATCTCCTGAGCACCCATGGTTCCCACCTGCCAGGAAAGTCAAAAGTACCAGGGAATTAATGCCCCTCCATTTCCCTTCTGCAGAGCAGCCCTCAGCCAAGACAAACAGGATCTGACATATTAGTACTTCAACTTCAACAACTGGGAGGTGTCTTCCACAATCTCCCAGAGTCCCCCAGAAGAATGGAGCCCTGGTTGCCCACAGTGTCAACCTGCTCATTCATCCTCATTGATGTACCCTCATTAAAGCTTACTGGCTTCTCTCCCTTCCCACTTTCATTTCCCCACTGTCTCACCATTAGTGCTTGTTGGGATCACTTCTCAGATAAGCTATTTACATCCAATTCCTTGTCTCACAGTCTGCAACTAGAAGAGCCCGAATTAAGATAACAGCTCAATCGTCCACCCACTCATCACTAACTGAATGCGCACCACTGTGTGCCTGGCACCATTCCAAGTGCTGGGGACACTGAAGGGAGCAGCAGAGACCCCTGCCTGGAGCTAATGGGGCTTCCAGCCCAGTGACCTCAGACCCTTGCATAAGTGTGCCAAGCTGGATGCTTATTCCAGAACAAAGTTGGGAACAAACCCCAGGGCATAGATATCAAGGAGCTTCTCAGGAGGCAGGAAGAGGCCACTGAAGAAGAGGGAGAAAGTACTTAGTTTCAAATGGCTCCTCAGAGGGAGCCCAAGACTTAACAGAGGTGGAGTACCAGAGGGTGGAATGCATTATAGGGTTTCACAGAGGAATCTAAGCTATGGGAGTCCCAACCTTCAAGGTTTCAGGGTCTCAGGAAGCCTAACATGGTGAACTCTGGGGCTTCTTTGTCCCAAGTTAGATCACTCCCCATTCTAGTCTAGATTCCCTTGGTTGTTGTTGTTTTTTTTAAATATATTTTATTGATATTTTACAGAGAGGAAGGGAGAGGGATAGAGAGGCAGAAACATCGATGAGAGAGAAACATCGATCAGCTGCCTCCTGCACATCCCCAACTGGGGATGTGCCCGAAACCAAGGTACGTGCCCTTGACCGGAATCGAACCTGGGACCCTTCAGTCCGCAGGCTAACGCTCTATCCACTGACAGAGCCAAATATCAACACCTTGGTTGTTTTTGTAATCAAAGCAGATCAAGGTTCAACTGCCTATACCCCCAGGCTGAATTGGGCAATTGGCTAGTCCAGTGGTCGGCAAACTCATTAGTCAACAGAGCCAAATATCAACAGTACGATTGAAATTTCTTTTGAGAGCCTAATTTTTTAAACTTAAACTATATAGGTAGATACATTGTTATTAACTTAATTAGGGTACTTCTAAGGCTTAGGAAGAGCCACACTCAAGGGGCCAAAGAGCTGCATGTGGCTCGTGAGCCGCAGTTTGCCGACCACCGGGCTAGTCTAAGACCCAACCCAGGCCTCCCTGTGGGAAGGAAAGGGTGGGCATGGGGAGACAGAGTCATCCTTCTAGAAGCTGGCCTCCCAGGCTGGACTCTAGCCCCAGCTCCCAGAGCCCTCTGACCCCTGCACCTATCCACGGACCACCCAAGGACCTGGCAGCAGTGTGCTCCCTGTCTTACCCCAGTGGAGGGCCAACCTCAAGGCTGGGCAGGGTCAAACATGTAAGCACCCCCATTCTACTTAGCTCCTTGACTGGATGGTCAGAGCAGGAAGTGGGAACCCCCTTTCTCTTCTCTGGACCTTGATCACTGGTTCCTTGGTTGGGCCTCAAAGCCAGGTGGCTGCACCTTACTGTGGGCGAAGGAGGAGACCCCTTCTCTTTTTCTGACTCCATCTGTACAGTTTGGTTCCAAGGAGAGCGCCCCCGCGGGTGCGCAATGCCTCGATCCTCATCAGTATGTCTCAGGCCAGGTCCAAGCCAATGGCAGCCGAGCCCAGAGGTCAGGGCCCCTGCTCCTAAGGCCGGCCGCTGGACCACCTTGGGGAGAGCAGGTCACCCTTTTCTGCGATCCCCGGCGCCAGGAGTCAGGGGCCACCTGGAAGCACCCGGAGGGAGGCAGGGCTGAGACGTCAGGTGGGCGGGGCGGGGCGGCTCCTGGTTGCGGTCCCGCCCGCCCTGATTCACCCAGCCTGGCCCGGGAACTAACTCTGCCGGAGCAGGGACCCAGGAGTTGGGCCCAGCTCCACCCTGAGCGGTGAGTAGGTGGCTCTCTCCACCGCTGGGAACCAGGTTGCTGGGTGGGGGTCGGGCCCACAGGAGGACTGCCCCAAATATGGCTGGCACAGTGGCCTGAGCCCACCGCCACCGCCTGGGGCACAGGGCAGCTGAGGAAAGGTGGGGGCAGAAAGAGGGTAGGCCCTGCTCAGGCCAAGGGTGCAGGGCAGGAGGGCAGGCAGACCTGGCCAAGGACAGAGTGAAGATCAACAGGCTGTGGGCTCCCTGGGGTGGGGGTGGG